CATGGAATACTATGCAGCCATAGAAAAAGGATGAGTTTGTTGTCCCCTTGTATGGGACGATGGATTGCAAGGGCTGGAGAACCACATTCTTAGCAAAACTATCACTAAGAATCAGAAAACCAAACACCGGCAGGTCCAGCCTCATAGGTGGAAGCTAAAATGAGACCACTGGACTCGGGGAAGGGGGACATCACACACTGGGGGCTATTATGGGAGGAGGGGAATGGGAGAGGGATTGGGCATTGGGAGTATACCTAATGTAAATGATGGAGTAGTTGGGGCGACGAGTTGATGGGTCAGGCACGAACCATTAGACAAGTAACATATGTAACAAACTGACGTTATGCACATGTACCTAAGGAAACTTAAGTAATAAAAAAAAAAAAAAAAAAGAAGCTGTCACAATGCGGGAAGAAAACCTGAGGAAAGCGGGACAGTCACAATAATAATTTAATGGTGTAGCTATGATAGTGGTTATCACCACTGCCGTGAGTATTCCTTCAATAAGGACTGGTAATAATGCCTGGATGCAATCACTCTATAATACTGTTACCCATGCTTTCTGATCTCAGTATTTACCATAATAAATCTGCTCCTATAATTGAGGCATACAGCCCTTAAAAACCTATTTGTAAGCAGGATTGGATCCAGTTAGAAAAAATGAACGTACTTGTTTAGGAAGATTGCTTTGCAGAACAGGCAGAGGTGCTGCACAACGATTCCCATGGAATCATTAATTGGTCCCCTAAGGGGATGTTTAGCTTGAATTGCACCTCTCAGTCTGCATGCCACGGTCACACTATGTTCAGATGATCTGAACAAAACGGTCAGGTGGTAGAAATGATAAGAAGTATGGCAAAATTCCTATTATCTGGAACCATGGCGGTATAGTGGCACCTCAACCTCAAATGATATGGCCCGCTCTAGGAGCCAAACATAAAGATTTGTGGAAACTATTAAATCCTCTTAATAAGATCAAATTTGAGAAAAACTAAAAGAGCATCTAGAAGGACACTCTACAAACTTGTTTTTGGATATAGCAAAATTAAAAGAACAAATATTTAAAGAATCCCAGGCACACCTGACCTTAATGCCAGGGACTGGAGTGCTTAAAGGAGCTGCAGACAAAGTAGCAGCTAGTAACCCATTAAAATGGATAAAAACACTTGGAAGCTCTGTGATTTCAATGATGACTGTGCTTTTAATCTATGTTGTTTGTCTTTGTACAGTCTGCAGATGCAGATCCTGACCCCTGAGAGTAGTAGTTCATCATGACAAAGTTGCCCTTGCTTTTATCTCTTTGCAAATCAGAGAAGGGGGACATGTTGGAAGCAAGCCCCCCAAAATCTGGCCACAAACTGTCCCCAAGACTGGCCATAAACAAAATCTCTGCAGCACTGTGACATGTTCATAATGGCCCTAATGCCCGCACTGGAAGGTTGTGGGTTTACGGGAATGAGGGCAAGGAACTCCTGGCCCGCCCAGGGCAGAAAACCACTTAAAGGCATTCTTAAGCCACAAACAATAGCATGAGCAATCCATGCCTTAAGGACATGCTCCTGCTGCAGTTAACTAGCCCAACCTATTCCTTTAATTTGGCCCATCCCTTTGTTTCCCATAAGGGATACTTTCAGTTAATTTAATATCTATAGAAACAATTCTAATTACTGGTTTGCTGTTAATAAACATGTGGATAAATCTCTGTTTGGGGTGCTCAGCTCTGAAGGCTGTGAGACCCCTGATTTCCCACTTCACACCTCTATATTTCTGTGTTTGTGTGTGTCTTTAATTCCTCTAGTGCTGCTGGGTTAGGGTCTCCCCAGTTGAGCTGGTCTTGGCAGTCAGCAAGGTTTTTAACCATATAGAACTTCAGCTTGAAAGTGAGTAATAATGATATTTAATGTATAGGCCTGTGATAAAGGATAAATTAGGTCACACATGCTGGGCATATAACACAGTATTTTTCACATGGTACAAAACAAATACTGACTTTATTATTATAATTATTATTATTTTAAAACCTTTGGGTACTAAAGAAATGTTGTCTCCAAAAGTTTAGAGTACATGGGAACATACTGATGACATGTTTTAAGTTAATAATTAAATTTTAGGAGAACTAAGTCTGCCTACAATTTTTACAGACATAGGAATGTTATGTTTATGGACTTTTATAACTGATCAGCTCTTTAATTACTCTGATAAAAGTCAGTTTGATCCTGATCAGTTTGCATTTGTCCAGTCTACTCTATATAAAATGTGGGATTGAACCTACTCTTATTACTTGCCTCTGTGGGACAGCCTGGAAGTTATCATATAAGGGTAGCTAATAAAAAGAAAAAAGGGGATTCATTTTGAGAGAATAATCAGCATAGAAGACAAAAAGTGAACTAGTAAGGAGTCTGGTTGTATTCAGACCACCCAATAGGAGAGCATCCCAGATCTGAAGATTATGAAGTGTCTTGGCAGGGTGGTTTTGCCCTGGACCTTTTATAGGGAGAGAAATATAAGTTTGAGGTGGGGAGATTTATAGTTGGGGTTGTTTTACAATCAGGGGGAAGTCTCAGTCAGTTGGCTGAATAGGATATGTTTATTTTTGAATGTAGCTACTTTTGAGGAGACAAACCATTCTAATCTCAGCTAAACATTTTTGAAACAAAAAATGGAGAGTTGGATGGTCTGTGTCTGGCCATGTCAGCAAGTATGGGCAAAAGAGGAAAGGTCTGTGTTTAATGTGCCACGGGTAAGCAAGAGAACCATGGGAAATTTTCTGGAAGTTGGGAGATAGAAGGGGGAGAGAGTCTTATCTAAGACATATGGGAAAGGTAGTTCTTTGTGGTAATTCATTTCCAAGAACACAAAACGGTGGGGGGATTTCTTAACCATTGCTTTTTTCTGGGAACACAGGCTAAGATAGGGTTCAGCCTTGACACAGAGAATATGGAGACTGAGTTCTGAGTCCTGTCTTTGCCACTAACTTCCAAGAGAACCACAGCTTCCTCATCACTAAAATTAGAAGGGATGAAAAAAGCAATGATTTATTCAGTGCATTTCATACCCCAATCTTCTGGAAGTCTCTGGAAGAGGTGAGATGGCAGCGTGGGGGAGTGGTGGGGCAAGGAGAGAGGTTTAAGTCACAGAGGGAGGAGGGGACAACAAAGAAAGGTTGTGTCACAGAGACGGGAGGGAAAATCAGCAGGTACATAATGACTCTGGGCAAGATTTGTAGGATAGGAAAGGGGGCACCAGGACCTTGGTTTGGTCTGTGCCACTATCTTTCACCCACATCAGACACGGCTCCCAGCAATGCCGTATATATTTGGGTCTTGATAAGGACTCGTTTGAAGACTGCTCTCTTCTCATCTCTCTTCTGCCCATAATTAGTGTTTCTCCACAGCTGTTCCTGACAAGAACACTTGGACTAAAGATTGGGACAGTTTACAGCTTAATCAACTTGTCTGCTCCTGGCGAGATCAGTCTGCCATGAAGGGTTTTCTCATCGTCGCTCTCTTGAGTGCAGCTGGTGAGAGTTTGGGGCTTTGTTTCTGCCTAGTGTGACACCCAGGGTAGTCTATGAAAGATGGGAAAGAGGATTAGCTGGGCACAACTAAAGAGCTAGGAACTGGAGGACACTTAAATAAAACAACTGTTGAAGAAAACAAAAGGAACCATATTAGAGGACATGGGCCTGGAAAAGGGGGGTGAGCTGGGTCAGGGGCTCTGGAAGCCCTAAGCTTTTCTATTTATTTCATCACCAAAGTCAGGCAGTAATTTTTTATCCCAATTTATGGCAAAAGTGAATTTAAAAAAAAAAATTTCAAGTCGTCATTTTTTCACCTTTGTAACACACAAGCCCTGCCAGTAAGAGTTTCTGATCAGCATGTAATTTAGTTTCATGGAATTTTTATGTAATTTCATCTCAGCAAAGCTATATGTCAATTTTCTTATTGTGTATAACTTGGGGGACATGCATAATTTTCTTTGATTAAAATATAAAAGATAAATTGAAGACCTTTACATTATGTTTGAAAACCTTAGGTTAGGGAAAACTACCCTAGCCAGTTGTGGCCTTTTAACTTCTTTGTCTCTTTCGACCTATGGCCCCTTGATTCTCCAGGAGCTGTTCTGGCTAAAGACTCTAAAGATAATCAGGAATCATCATACAATTTTACTATTCCTTACATGGTCTATCTTCAGTCCTTCCCAGAACCCTGTGTGGGGTCTCTCATTCATCCTGACTGGGTATTGACAGCTGCCCACTGCCCCTTACCGTAAGTATCCCTTTCTCTTGTGAGCCAGGAGGAATCTGTTCAAACAAATGTAGATCTGGTGAAGCATCCCAGAAAATTTTTAGTAAAATCAGAAGACACGGAAAAAGAGAGACTCTTGTTCCCAATGGGAAATAGAATACAAATTTGGGCAGTTTAGGAGGAGATCAGTAGGAAGATGTCAGAGGATTCCCTCTCATGGGTAATAAATAATATTCATTCATCAACAATACTTGTTAAACATTTATTATATAGCAAGGGCTGTTTAATCACTGATAAAACCGTGAAGGAACAAGATGAAAATAAGTGTTCCCTCATGGAGCTTACATTTTGGTAGAGGTAGTGTAGCCAACACAAATAAACTGCCAAAAACAAAGGTTTTTTTTTGTTTGTTTGTTTGTTTGTTTTTAATGGCAAGCTGTAATATATGGGCATGAAACAAGAGATCTGCTTTAGTTAATGTGGTCATGTCCATCATCTCTGAAGAGGTGAGATCCATAGGAAGAGGAGCCAGCCAAATGAATAAATCCTGGGGGATATTTCAGACCAAGGAAACAATATTCATATACTCCCTGAAGTAGCAAAGACATTAAGGTATTTGGCAAGCAGAGAAATCAGCAGGAACTAAGGGTAATGAGTAGGGGGGATGTCCATAGGGTGAGGTCAAAGATTTAGGCAAAAGTCGTATCACGCAGTGACAGTAGAGGGCACGGGAGCACAGTACAAAATAAAGCAATTCCTTGCAAATCTCAGTGTTTCTGCTGTATGTGAGAATGTGTTGTGTGATCAAGACCTACTCAGTTTCATGAGTATAGAAGGATCCTTTCAAATTCAGAAATCTCAGCCATCTGGCTGCTCAAGGCAGTTTAGTTTAACACAGACTAACCTCTGCTCTGTGATATATGGGAAATACAAAGGAAATACACAGTTCACATCCTTCCAGAATAAGAATTGAAAACGCAGATGTTCTTTCTTACATCCATACTTAACCCATGAACAGGATGTGTGGTGCCTCTTTATTAGCTGCTAATTCAGATGATAGAAATCTTAATAACAAGGCTCCACTGACTGTGTTTTAGGTGCCAGACCCCATGTCAGACATTTTACAAATTTATGTCTCTAATAGAACAATTCTGTAAATTATTGCTATTATTTTACAGACAAAGGAAGGCCATGTCTGTTCTCAGGTTAAGAAATAAAGTTAAAACAATTAAAGAGGGTGGCCTGTAGCATTTCTTGTAATCTGTCATCCTATGACTCTCTTTCTTCTCATCTCTCTGCCCTCTTTCTTCCAAAGTGTTGAAATCCGACTGGGAGTTTCTCAACCTAGCATCACAAATAAGAAACAACAGATACGAAACTATTCATCGATTGTGACCTACCCTGACTTTGATGCAAAATCCTTGAACAATGACCTAATGATGATCAAACTGTCAACGCCGGCTTCACTCAACCCCCATGTGGGGACTATAGCCATAGCCTTGGAACCCATTCCATTTAATGAGTCCTGCTTTATTCCAACCTGGACCTGGAATGAATATAAAAACCGTAAGTGTTGGATGCTGTGTTCTTTATGCTGAGGAGGTTGGAGCTGGGAGAAAATGTAGTGGGATGTCCCTAATGGAAATCGCTGCTATGAGACAAAGTTATCCACCATAGAGGGATTCCTGCCAGGGCCCCAAACCACCATCACTGGAGGTCAAAGGTAAAATTCGGGCCGGGCGTGGTGGCTCACGCCTGTAATCCCAGCACTTTGGGAGGCCGAGGTGGGCGGATCACGAGGTCAGGAGATCGAGACCATCTTGGCTAACACGGTGAAACCCCATCTCTACTAAAAATACAAAAAATTAGCCGGGCGAGGCGGGCGCCTGTAGTAGCAGCTACTCGGGAGCCTGTAGTTCCAGCTACTCGGGAGGCTGAGGCAAGAGAATGGCGTAAACCCGGGAGGCGGAGCTTGCAGTGAGCCGACATCGCGCCACTGCACTCCAGCCTGGGCGACAGAGCGAGACTCTGCCCCCCCCCCAAAAAAGATAAAATTCAAAGAGACTGATAAAGGGCAGCCGCTCGGACATCAAAAAATGGAGCAGACAGTAATTTTTATATCTCTAGAATATTGAAGACAAGAGTCCAGAGAACTGGATTGAAGTACAGGTGGGAGAAATAGGAGTCCTCACGCACAAAAGACAGCATGAAGGCAGTCTGTGGGAGGGTGACTTAGTCATTGATAGTTGCTGAAAACCCATCACACAATGGAAGAACAGTGGGGGAAATGAACATAAAATATATGTGATGCGGTGAAGCAGCAGAGGATGCTTCCTGCACCCTCCACGGAGAACCCAATTATGTGCAGAGAACCCTGGGAGACAAGAGAATGATTGAGGGAGCACCTGTCCTGTCACCAGAGCTGGTTCCCTGCACAGAGTGCTACTCATACCTACTGCTCCATCCCAGAGTTCCCACTAAGAGGTGGAGACTTGGGTGGTTCATAAGGAAATTGATTATTATGGCATAATCAGTTGGTATCTCCCTGGCTTGACATGCTTCATGGGAAAAACAGTGGCAGCCCATGTTGTAAGCACACACCCATCTCCCCTGTGAGCTGAAACTGGGATGAGCAGAAAGATCTGGTCTCTGCAGGAGTCTGTCTAGTAAAGAACACTTATGAAGAAAGTTACTTTCTAATGTGTTTGTTGGTCCTTGTTGGCTGTTACTCCACTATTCCTCTCTTTAGGTATTGTTGAGGATAAGGATGCCACCACTTGATATCTGAAATGAAATGACCAATCTAAATCTATTGCTTATTACAGCAAGTCAGAGCAATGCTGACCAGGCACCATCCCACTAAGCAAAGTGGAGTGCTGATTAGCATATGGGGTTTGTGGGAAGCTTGGAGTTGAGGGATTGGAGGACTTTCAGAGGTATGAATGGGTCCCATCATCTGTCGAGGCCTGGCTACTTCAGGGGGATTGCTGTTGATTGGTTGGTGCTTTGAGACGTGTCTGTCAGAGGACCTCTGATCCTGATCAGCTGATTTTAAGAAGTGAAGGCTGACACTGATTATCTTGCAAAAGCCATGTTCGCTCAAGCAAGTTGTCCTGGATCTATTAATCAGGTTTAAATCTTTCTCTGGTGGCTACAGAACAATGTACCTGTTCTGTAAAAGCAATTAAAAGTGGAATTTTAAAAGTCAGTCTTCGATTAGAAAAAAAAAAACAGAAATAAAAAGCAGAAACTATTATATTCTCTGTATTTTGCAGCTTCATTTTTCAATGTAGAAACAAAGTACTTGGGAATCTAGGTGAACATGTTTTCTGAACAATTGCAGCTTGGATGATTTTTGTCCTTTATAAGTCTTATTCAAAGTAATTGAATCACAATTTACAGATGTAATTTATTCCTTACCATTTGAAAACAAAACAAAACTATACAGAGGTATACAGGTTCTGAATGTCAAAATCACAGTGACAAACAATACCTCTATAAGCTTTCTGGTACAGGACTTCCAATATTTGTTAGAAATTCATTATTTCAAGTAACTTAACTTACTTTCACCTAGCTTTTTACACGTATTTTAATTTAGTTCCCATAAAAACATAAAACTGAACATAATTTCTCTTTCTTCTCTGACCTGACACCTTCTGGCCTAATCTGCTTTAGGGCATTTTATTGGATGCACTCTATCAGAAAAAACCCTGCTCCTTAAACAACACTGGACTTAGTTTGAGCAATCTCTGGTCAATGTTTTTTTTTCCCTCTCTCTTTGCTATTCTCTACCAGAAATTTAAATTACATAATACCTTGGTTAAAGTCCCTGTATCCTGAAGTTGACAGTATAATAGCAATTGCTATTATGGAGTTGAACAACATGGCAACTACTTAGGGGGAAACATATATGTATATTTATATCAATACACATACTATAAACACTTATAAATAATCTGTTTAACTTCAAAAGCAGTTTTATATGCATTAAAATAGTTTTTCCCTTTATAACTAAACGTGAAAAGGATCAAGTAGATACCCAATAAAGGTGTATGTGTAGGGGCAAAATCTTTGGGACGATGGCTTCATTACTGTCTCTTTCTCCTTGTGGTCACTAATAACTCACAGTTTTTTCAATTTTTTTATAAAAGATGCATAGTACAGAAAGAACTATGGATTTGATATCTGACAAAGGGGACTTATAAACCTACTTCTCCGCCATGGAGATTACTGAACAAGGAATCCTATGGAGAATGGAGTGTCTGCTGCTACCTGCATTGAATATTCTCAGGACTGAATTTATTTACAAAACAGGATCTGGTTACAAGAGCCCTTGTGATAAGAGGAGTCACTCTGGAGTTTGTTTTCTCTTTCCCACAGTCAGTGATCCTGACATCCTGACATGGATCAACCAACATTCTCTTCCATTCCATGACTGTCAGGATAGACTCAAAGAAGAACAGGCAGGAAACATCATTTGTGTGGGACACCCTCTAAGGATCCTATCTGAAAACAAGGTATTTCTCCCTTCTGTATACAGGAAGATAGCAAGAGTCCCATGGGACGAGTGGTGATAATGCAGAATCAAAGAGCACTCATCCAAAAGGCCTCCCGAGAGTGAGGAGCAAAGAGCTGAAGTCCCTCTCCCCTCCCTACTCACCTCTGGGTTTCTAACCACTGCCCTTCTCATCTTTCAGAGTGGCAGAGATTTAGGGTAGAACTATTTGTCCTTTGTCTTGCTTGCTCTGGGGTTGGGTCAAGCTTGAACCTTAGAGGTAAGACTTCTGTGGATGTAAAGAGAGGTCTGCCACCTCTCAAGAAAAATAAGCCCATTCTCTTAGATGGTTTTGCTATTCTTATGTGCCACTTTCTGGCATTTACTTTTTTTTGGTTTTTTTTTGGAGATGTTGTCCACTCTGTCACCCAGCCTGGAGTGCAGTGATCTTGGCTCACTGCAACCTCCTTCTCCTAGGTTCAAGCGATTCTCCTGCCTTAGCCTGCTAAGTAGCTGGGGCTACAGGCACACACCACCACGCCCGGCTAATTTTTGTATTTTAGTAGAGACGAGGTTTCACCATTTGGCCAGGATGGTCTTGATCTCCTGACCTTGTGATTCACCCACCTTGGCCTCCCAAAGTACTGGGATTACAGGCTTGAGCCACCACGCCCAGCTGGCATTTACTCTTGTTCCGTAAGGACAAGGACACATTGACCTTCTGTTCCTTCTCTCTATAAGGAAGTTTCGGCAGCCCCAGCCATCTGCAATGGGAGGTTGCATGGAATCTTGTCCTGGGCAGAAGGAAGCGTCACCCTAGGAAGTGAAGGATTCTTCACAGATGTTCATCACTATGCAAGATGGATCTTGAAAATTATGGATACCCACTGAGGCGCCTCTGTTCCCATATCCCCTCAGTACCACCTCTTCATAATTTCTACACTGGATCTACAACTCTCTTCATCTTTGTTATTTTGGAACAAAATCCAAAGAGGAAACATCTGATTAAAAAAAAAATGAGTGGCTAAGAACCCATGCCATGACTCCTGATGCCTTTGTCATGTAAACTTTGAGGATAATGAGAAATTTAGCAACCTCTTCACCTTGTGTTTATTCATTCAAAAATTAACCACTAGCTGTTTAGTAGGCACTGCCTTTGCTAAGGATGCCTGAGTGACTATGACATGACCTTGGCCATCAGTTAGCTAATTATTGTACCTTGTGATAACTGCTATAACAGAGATGAGCAGTAAGCTCCATGAACACATAAAATAAAACATTCTGAGTAGCAGTGTCAGGAGAAGTAACACCAGAGAGGCAGACAAATTAGGGGAGGATATTGTAAAACTGAGCACATAGTTTATTAAAAGGTAAAAAAGCATATGAAAGTGTGGTAAAGTCTGGAAAATATATGTAAATAAGCAATCCTTGAGGGTAGAAAATAAATTGTAGAGAAGGAAAAATAACGTGACAAAATATTATTCTATATAGGCAGGCAAAAGTTGGGTGATGAAGGGCCTGACCTGCTCTATAAAGGAACTTAGATTTTTATCTCATAGGCATTAGAGGGAGTGTCATTGAAGCTTTTACAGTAAACAGAATACCATGCAATTTCTGATTTGAGAGATACTAAGGAAGTGACATCTGTAAGATTTGGACACACTTCCTGTAAGAAGAAAAGGCAAGGGAGGTGTCAGAGATAACTCCTAAGTCTTTTGACTTGGACAACAGGTAAGATGGTGATTCTCAAAGATAATATGAGGATAACAAGTGCATTTGTGTGCAAGATATCATGAGCATGGTCCTGCATGAGGAGACAGGTGGCCTGCTATATTGAAATCCTTTAAGGATGTAGAGGTGGTTATTTCCAGCAGACAGCTGGAAACCGTGATCTGAAACCCAGATGCTGCCTGAGGAGTGACTAACAAATAGGAGTCCTACATTGGTGGGTGGGAGCTGCGGGGTTTGGGAGGGCTCTCTGCTATGGAGAAGAGCTGTGATGGGTGCTCAGCCCTTCTCGCACACTGGCATATGTTGGGGAGATATGCAGCACCCCATAGTCACTGACTAAGGCGTCTAAAAACAGAGACAGAGTTAAGGGGATTCTGAGTGGCCCCCCAAACTTAGGGGTTTGAGTGACATAGGAGAGACCAAAGAGCACCAGGGAGAAAAGGGTCAATGTGACATAGGGACCTTATGTTAAAAAAGAAAAGATGGGCAGAGGAGGTCAGTGAAGATGGGAACAGAGAACCATATCATAGGAGAAAACCTCTGTGGGAGGCATAAAGAGGTTTGAGGTTTCTTCCCTTGAGGGGCGCAGTGAATCTAGGACACCTATAAAGGCCACAGAGGTGAGTAGGTTTTTGGACCCTGAACCTGGATGCCTGAATGTGTTTTCTCTTCTCCTAAAGCAAAAAAACAAAACAAAACAAAACCCACATGTGATGACTCATGTCTATACTCCCAGCACTCTTGGAGGCTGAGGTGGGAGGATTGTTTGAGACCAGGAGTTTAAGACCAGCCTTGGCAACATAGAGAGACCTTTGTCTCTACGTAAAACAGTAATAAAAAAAAAAAAAACTCCTAACTCATGGGAGGCTGACAGAGGAAGAGGTCGCGGCTGCAATGAGTCATTATTGTGCCACTGAATTCCAGCCTGGGTGACAGAGCAAGACCCTGTCTCTCAAACAACAAAAACCAAAACCAGAGAGCTTAGGTGCATCTGAGACCAATAGCTTGTTCTGGCCCATTCACAGAAATTTTCTTTTTTCTCAAATCTAGATACTAAGGCCATTTCATTCACTGTATGACTTTTTTTCTGTAATCTCTGGCCCCATCTGAACAGCACATCCTCAGTTTGCCAGTCTTCTCTCACATTTTCCCCAGTTTCCTGTCTCTGACTCACTGCCCAAAGCACCCTTAATGAATCATGTCTGTATTTGTGCCGGAGGTTTTTTTTTTTTATTTCAACTTTTATTTTAGATGTAGGGGGACAAATGTAGGTATGTTATATGGGTATATTGTGTTATGCTGAGGTTTGGGGTATGGATCCCATCACCCAGGGAGTAAGCATAGTACCTGGTAGGTAGTTTTTCAACCCATGCCCCTCTCCTTCCCTCTCACTTCTAGTAATCTGCAGTGTCTATTATTCTCGTGTTTATGTCCATGTGTGCTCAGTGTTTAGCTCCCACTTATAAGTGAGAACATGCAATATTTAGTTTTCTGTTCCTGTGTTAATTCACTTAGGATTATAGAGCTCAACTAATCACTTCTTGTAACTCCTGAATTACATTTTTAGCACTTATTGGCAATCCTATCTTCTCCAAGTAAATTGTTTGTATAATTCTCCGCAGTAGCAATTTCAAACCCTCTCCTCTCTCCCCAAACTTTCAATGCTCACTTTTAGCAGATGACCTCTAGTGTGTGAGTAGGGAAAAGTCGAAACCAGCAGAAGATACCTCCCTGAAATTGCCACCACCAAAACTGCAAACATACCTGCTTTCCCCCACCTTTTTTCTTTTTCATTCTTCCTGCTATATTGGAAGCAAGAGTTTATTATTTACAGCCTCTAGCTCTAGCTGTGAAATGGACCCCATCTTCTCTGAATTCCTCATGGACTTGCTTTATTGATTAGCTCCAGTTTTCCCTATGTATCACCTTCTTCCTGTTATCATTTAAGGAAAATAAAGCCTCATTCATCTAAAATACAGAACCCAAGGACATGTTTCTTTGACCTACTCTCTGGTTGCCTCCTCTATCTCCTTTGCAGGCAGTTCTTACTTGAGAAATCCTGCAAAGTCTGTTTCATAGGATTCTCCTATCTGTGTCTCCTTGCCTGTCTCTCTCTCCATTCTCTTTTTTCCATTCCATGTTCTCCTTGGAGCTCTGGTTCATCCACCTGGAGATTTCTTCCCCAGCTCTTCATTTGGCTAACTTCTACTCATCCTTCAAGTCTCAGACTTCACTTCCCAAAGGAGGTCTTCTTCTGACTTTATATTAGGGTCCTGTGACATGCTTCTCTACCTCCCTTTTCTTTTGACATTCACGATGATTACTCTTATTACATTTATCTCCCCCTCATTAAGCATTATGATGTATGAGAGCAAGCTTCTCATCTCCCTTGCCATGGAATCATCAGTATCGAATACAATGCCAGCATCCAGTATGCATTTGTATTAGTTTTCTATTGCTGTGTAAAAACATCACAAATTTAATGGCTTAATAAAAATACACATTTAGGAGGAGTTCAAGAAAAAATGGTGGATAGGAGCAGGACTAGCTTGCAGCTCCCACTGGGTGGGACACAACAGAATGTGGATACCCACATCATGAACTTTTTCTCCAAGAACTACTGCAGGAACATATCAGGAAAGCCAAGAGAATCCACAGACCCTTTGAAGGAGGTGGATTGCCACTGCAGGCTCTGTGGGATAGCCGAGGAACTCTGAAGACAAAGGATATAATCTCTTGGGAGCTCTATGGCCTGAGAAACCTGAATACTTATCCAAAGGTGACCCTAGGGAAAGCTTGTATTGTTCTTATACAATCACAGCTGATGTGCACCTAAAAGCACCACCTCCTGGCTGGAGGCCAACCAACACAAAACCAGTGCACTTAACAAAAATGCAACCAAGGACCTTCACAGAGTCCACTTCACTCCCTGCTACCTCCACTGGAGCGGGTGCTGGTATCCACAGCTGAGAGACCTGAATACAGATCACATCACAGAACTCTTTGGACCAGCCTGGAGCCTGGAAGCCCCTCTGAGTGGCTAGATCCAGAAAAGAAACAACAATCAGTGCAGTTCAGGACTCAGAAAGCCCCATCCCTAGAGGAAAGGGGAGAGCACTGCATCAAGGGAGCACCCCTGTGGGACAAAAGAATCTGAACAGTAGCCCCTGAGTCCCAGATATTCTCAGTGACATAGTCTACCCAAATGAGAAGGAAACAGAAAACAAACCTGGTAATATGACAAAACAAGATTCTTTAATGCCCCCAAAAGACCACAGCAGATCACGAGCAATGGGTTCAAACCAAGAAAAAAATCTCTGAATTACCAGGAAAAGAATTCAGAAGGTTGATTATTAAGCCAATCAAGGAGGCACCAGAGAAAGGTGAAGTCCAGCTTAAAGAAAGCAAAATGTTATACAGGATATGATTGGAAAAATCTCCAGATAGCATAAATCAAAAACAGTCACAACTTCTGGAAATGAAGGACACACTTAGAGAAATGCAAAATGTATTGAAAACTCTCAGCAATAGAATCAAATGCATAGAAAAAAGAACTTCAGAGCTTGAAGGAAAGGCTTTCAAATTAACCCAATCCAACAAAGACAAAGAAAAAAGAATTTAAAAAAAAATGAACAAAGCCTCCAAAAAGTTTGGGATTATGTTAAATAACCAAACCTAAGAATAATTGGTGTTCTCAAGGAGGAATAGAAATCTAAAAGTTTGGAAACATATTTGAAGGAATAATTGAGGAAGACTTTCCTGGTCTTGATAGAGATCTAGACATTCAAAAATAAGAAGCTCAAAGAACACCTGGGAAATTCATCACAAAAAGATTATTGCCTAGGCACATACTCAGCAGGTTATCTAAAGTCAAAACAAAGGAAATAATCTTAAGAGTCATGAGGCAAAAGCATCCGGTAACCTATAAAAGAAAATTTATCAGATTAACAGCAGTTTTCTCAGCAGAAATCCTACAAGCTGGAAAGGATTGGGGTCCTATCTTTAGGCTTGTAAACAAAACAATTATCAGGTAAAAATTTTGTGTCCAGTGAAACTAAGCTTCATAAATGAAGGAAAGGTACAGTCTTTCTCAGACAAACAAATGCTAAGAGAATTTGCCACTACCAAGCCAGCACTACAAGAAAACTGCTAGAAGGCAC